ATATATACATATAGATAGATAGATACGCATACGTGTGTATAGAGAAATAGATAGACATACATCATTCACCTTAGTTCATTTCTTGAAATCATATTCTACAAAGCGCTTAGTTTCCTTAGACGTTCAGATATAAACATTTCTGTTGGATTTTAGGGATAAGATCAAATGTACAGACATTTGAAAACGTTCTTCAGGGAAATGCAGATTGAATGCTTTCTCTAACATCTGGCTTTCACACCTCAAACTCTGAGTATCATTGATGAAGGACACATAGAAACTAAGCTATGGAACGTATAGAACACATAATTAAAGCAAAAAAACTTATAAAAACAATAAACAGGTGACATCATTATATCACTGATAAATGACGACGACGTGAAGGTCGATAATGAAACACGTATGAATAAAAAAATAATCATAAAAGAGATGATATCGGTGATTCCATCTTCCGCAAAGGAGGCTGGAAGACTAAACATTTACCTCTCGAACCTAAATCTACTTTGCGAGTCAATGTACGGTCTCGTCTGCTCCTTGATGAATGAGATGAACGCAGGATCGAGGCCCTTGACTCCCGCCGGCGTGAGTCCCGGGTGGATCCTGTCCCTCTCGTTGTGGGTCTCCTTGAAAGGCACGTCGTCCCTGTAGATGGAGTCCTCCGTGATGAAGTTGAGGTGGGGTGAGAAGTGCGGGGGTGGGTGGTGGTGATGGTGGTGGGTGTGGTGGGGAGGAGGGTGCTTTGAGGGGTGTTTCGCAGGGCGGGGGTGCTTGTGCGGGGGCGGTCTCTTGGGGAAGACGATGGGGTCCTCGCTGAAGGGCTTGAGGGGAGGTGGAGGAGGAGGGGGTGGCGGTGGAGGCGAGAAGTGGTCGTCGTGAGGACTGTGAAGGTCCAGATCGTGGGGGAAGTGCTCGTCGTGCGGAGGGAAGTCGTCGTCTAGGTGCGGACTGAAGAAGGGGTCGTGCTCGTGCTCGTGCGTCTCGAAGGGGGCGCCGAAGCCGAAGGGCTCGTCGCCAGGAGGAGGGAGTCCGGCGTTCTCGAAGAAGTCTGGAGGATCGAAGTCGAAGTCGGGCGGAGGGAAGTCGTGGTGGTGGTCGGGTATGGGCGGGAGGGGCGGCGGGCGGCGCTTGGGTATGGGAGGCGGGCGGGGTATGGGAGGGTGATGGATGGGGGGAAGATGGTGGTGTATGTGGGGGAACGCGAAGCCCAGGCGGTCGGGGTTCAAGTTGGGGCCGCTCACGAAGGCTTGCCGCTCCGTTATCTTATCTTCGGACTCGAGCGCTGAAGCCGCCGATTCCGTGTCGTTGACGGGGATCTTCAGCAGGTCGACCTCCGCCTCCGCCGCAGCAGACTCCAGCAGCGCCTCGAAGTCTCCTCCTTCCTCCAGACTCGATGTCGACGACAATTTCTTCACGTCGTCAGAAGCAGGAGTCTGTAAATCTCCAGGTGTGTCTCGCTCGGTCGAAGACGGGCCGTGACCTGGTGTTTCGGTGACCTTTCCCGCCGCCGCGCCCCTCCGAGGTTCCTGGTCACACCCGGCTAGACTCGCCGACGCAACGAGGAGAAAACACTGAAAAGAAAGAGGTGAAAATGACATAAAACAAGGCGTTCGAGATTTGATATAGTAATTGTATTAAAGGAAATAATGTCCCAATGAAAGACAAAGTGGTTTGCGTTGCACCGCGTCCACAGGTATCTCTCAAAATACCACCAAACTTCCAGACGCACCTCACGACCTCCCACAAATTCCATTTCCAATCTCTCTCTCTCTCTCTCTCTCTCTCTCTCTCTCTCTCTCTCTCTCTCTCTCTCTCTCTCTCTCTCTGTCTCTCTCTCTCTCTCTCTCTCTCTCTCTCTCTCTCTCTCTCTCTCTCTCTCTCTCTATATATATATATATATATATATATATATATATATATATATATATATATATATATATATATATATATGCTCTCAGTGCTCTCCCTAGCAATACTCAGCAAAACAGAACGCAAGTCTTTACACTCTCTGACCCGACGACGGGGCTGCCAGACGTACGTGACCGCCGCCACTCTCCCCTGATGACTCGGCGTCGTCTGCGAGGCGTGACGGAGAGAAAACGGGAATCGGGAAGTTGTTTACACGCCGAGCAACTGATGGATGCAAGACTTATTTCAGTTACGCTTATCTTCAATTACGGGGAAGGAAAGGATGATCTTGCATTCTTTTTCCATTCCTTCTATTTGCTTTTTGACTTGTAAGATTCGTCAGTGGTTGGAAAGCTTTAGATAATAGATAGGAAATCGATATTGAGAAAAAAACGTAGCTAACCAAAAGGAAGAGAAATTGACAATGACAGTCATTCAATACACAGTATTCAATCCGAAATTTTGTATATTTTTCCCCAGCTCTTTCTTGTCGCTCTTTGAATAATGTAAAAAAAGAAAAAAAAGTAAACTAACTAACTGTATATTATGTCCTACTAACACGTCACAGTTAATGCACTAACCACAACTAGTAATAAAG